GTTTGTTTGTTTGTTTGTTTGTTTGTTTTTTGACAGTATAGGACTGTTTTGTCATCATAACAGGGTTATTAGCACCGTGTCCGCTCATACATCTGATGGATCTCGATTCATTCTTAAAGTTGAAGCCTTGAGCTGCTGTGTAACGACAGGCATCCTATGTACTTCCATCAGTCATGCATGCACTTGGTTAGACAGGTTGATTAGATTATATAATGGAGCAGATACAAGTGTAGGCAAATGAGTCTCTTGTAGCTCAGTCCAGGGTTCGGCAACTGCTGACTCAGCTAAGTCAAAGCTCCGGCACTCCTCTGGGAATCCAAGAGAGGAAGAGCTCCACTTCCCTACCCCCTTCCAAATTTAAGAGCCCAGAAAGCCCAAAATCTCCCATTAATGCTGGTCATGTGACTTGTCTTTCCTCAGGTGGCAGTGGCAGGAATACTTCCCCTTTGTCCCCTTAGAGTGGTGAAGGATGGGCTCAGGGGCGGGCAAGCATTCAATCCACACTCTTTTGTTTTGCAGCACAGTGTCTTTTGAGGCCAAAGAAAATGCGGGGTTTACTCATTATCTCCATTTTAAATGGGCTATTTAGGACAGGCCGTGTCAAAGTCAGAGGCTTAGAGATAAATCACGCTGACAGCTCTTTTCCCCCAGTTGAACTTGCGGTTGTGCTGGTGTCAGTTGGATCTTTGTCAAAATTTCACTTTCATTGCAATGGATGGACTACTGCAGGTAGTCTGTGTTTACCACCCAAAAATGCCAATTATAATTTAATAAAGCGCCTGTGAGTCACTCTGATTTACTAAGTCTGGTCTAAATCAGCAGTTGCTTGGAAAATTTCACAGTCAAACTCAAACCCAGCATTTAGACAAATGTCTGACTGAGTGAAATGAGTGCATGAAGCACTAATGAATGCCCTGATTGGTTCGTGTGGTGGTTTACAGCAGCCGTCACACTGAATGCGCTGCAATGGAGAGGAGGTGAGAAGAGCTCCACACAACTTGATTAAAACAACTGTTGACCGTGTCTGTGGTAATGAACTGGAACGTCAGTCACATGGCTCAGTGAAGCAGGAACCCGGGCCAGTAAAGGAAGATATCAGATAATGGAGTCATTTATGATAAAACCATGTTAGTATTTTATGACTTGTTGGAAGTCGTCTCGTCTTAAAAATAGCATTTTTAAGCCAAAATGATCAAATGTCTGTATGAAAGCAAGAGACCTAGAATCCTAGGGTCACTGTCGACTGTTTCTTCCCTGCTGGCAAGTACATGTGAGTTCACTTGCTGTTTACCTGACAAATTCTTGCAAACATTTCAGCAAGAAAACAAACACAGAAGCCTTTGGATGCTGCACAAATCATACTGACTCTACATGTTGAAGGCCAGAGCAAAATATTCTTGCATTTTCCACCCATTAGAAACGGTGAACAGTTTCCTGCTACTACAGATAGACAGATAGCCAATTGTCTTTCCCATTAAAAGTCAGTTAATTAAAGGTGTTGCAGAATTTCCGCTACCCCAGAAAGAGAAAGTTTGAGGAGTGTTTTCAACCTGACTCAAGAAAATACGGTGTAGACTGAGGTCATGTTGGCCTTAAGTCCTTCCTCTCTTGACAGTGTCATGCCAACTGTGATCACTGGGCTGTAATGACATACAGTTCCCCAACATCTGCCAGCGCCTGTTGATTTGTGGTGCATTTCTGTTTATTTATTTTGACCAGATGAGCCTCCTGGTATTTATAGCAGGAGTAAAAGCCTAATGTGGGGTCAATCCTGGGTAAGGGCTATGGAGACAAAATGCCAAAGCTGACCTGACATTCTTGTTGGGGACAGATCCTTTCTGGTTCTGGAGTCTCTCCCACACACACACACACACACACACACACACACACACACACACACACACACACACACACACACACAATAAAAAGCTGGGTGTGGCCGTGAGAGATTGAGTTGAGCATAGGATAGAAAGTTTGATTCAAAGACTTGTGCCCCCCTCCCCTCGCTTTGCTTCATTCTTTTTGAAAATGAAAACTTCCACATGACACAGTGCCCATGCAGGATGTCTTAACGTGCTGGGGGTCACACGTGGCAGCGGGGAAATGTAGGCCCTCTCCTTTGTCGTCTCCCCCCAACACACCAACACACACACACACACACACACACACACACACACACACACACACATAGAGAGCTCTGCAGGCCTCCAAGAGCATCTGTCACCACGGGGGGTCAGCAGGGCTGTAATGAATGAGCCCCCAATGGATACCCTCCCTCTTTGGCAAATGGCGTGGGACGGAGGAAGGCCTAGGGGGAGGTCTCTGTGTGTGTGTGTTTGTTTGCATGGGAGAGAGAAAGAGGAGGGAGGGTTTCTGCTGCAACAAGGGAAAGAGTGGGATTTCCAGTTCTCTGTAGAGGATAATGACAAAGGTGGCTACCAGAAAGGACTGAAACTCCATATGCTGCCTGGATATCAAAAAATAAAAGGATTTACTATTTAACATGGATGATATTTAAACAGGTGGCTTCACGTTTGGGATTTACTACACTTGATTGGAATTTTAAGCTGCTCGAGGAGTCATGGAAGGTACAGCAGAAGCTTCTTAAAACTGTGCTGTGTGTCACATGTGGCCCTGATTCAGCATTATTGGTACAGGGTTTTTTTAGCACCTCATTCAGTTTGTTTTATTCTCACCGCCCCCCTCTCCAGCCCCCATCACTTTTTCTCTCATGTCAGAGAAGGTGGCCTTTTTAATGTTAAGTGTGTGTTGAAATTTTTCCTGAATTTGTGCAACAGCGAGGTGTAAATAAATATTTATGAAATTCCCCTTAAAACTGGCTAATTTCATTCAAACCCTGAATTAACTCATTTTCAGCTAGCTGCGTTTGTTTGATTAGCAAACGTCAAATAAGGGCCAAGTGTCAAGTTTAATTGCTTGATATCAACATCTTTTCCTTTTTATAAATGCAATGTTAGACAAAACACATTACCTTGCATTTGTTTGACTTTGCTGCAAAGCATATGCTAAATCACAATGTTATTAAAATGGGTGGAGGGTAAGCAAGTTTGTGTCCTGCCTCTTTCCCTCTGTTTAAACATTGTAATGTAATTATGCAGCTGAGCAAGAAACAAAAGGAGCCTGCAGAGAAAGAAAATTCCGGGTCAAAAGTAAGATTGGTTCAATTTAATGAACTTTTGATCTGACTTCTTTTCAGGGTAAAGCTCTGATATGGTTTTGATCTTTAACGGATCGCATATTGTGTAAGAAGAGATTTCACAAATAGCGCATCAGCTACAACAAAACATGAGATGGGAACATTAATTCTAAGCAAGCTTTACTTATTTTTGAGTGAAGTTGTCAAGAGGAGAATCTCATTTTAGCTTTGTAGTGTACTCACCAATTGAAGAAAATTCACACCTCTTAGTTAATGTTGAATTTCCCTTTTTTTTAAACTGAATGTAATAAACAAGATTTCATTTTCAAGATTAAAAAAAGTTTTGGCTGCAGTTTTTTTATTTATTTTTTTTTATACCCAACATTTTTTCAAGACTGCACATGTTGACAGAACAAAGTAAAATTTCTTAAACAATTGTGTATTTTTTTTTTACCTAAATTATTATTTTTTTTATATATATATATATGCATTTTTGTATCAACCTATCTAAACAGAACATACTGCCATTGTATTAATAATGGATGTATATTTTATAGTTGGGCTGTGCTTGCATGCATTTAAGAAGCATTGTCTTTAACCATTAGCTTAATCAAGAAATTTGCTTAAGAAACAAACTAAAACAGCACTTAAGTCTGAATATTTTCTCACGTTACATCACTGGAAAAACAGAACTTTATTATGCAGCACCTCGGGCTTGTCTTGTTTTTGTGTCTAAATTTATGGCTTCTTCAGCTTCATCTCCAGAGTCATCTCTGCCTCCTGTTGTGATGTCTACCCGTCACAACCAGATAAGCATCAAAATATTTAAAGACTCTGCTCCCTGGGTAATTAGCCGGTTGCAAGAGCTTAGGTTTGAGTTTTATATCAACAGCTGCGGGAACACTTGTGGGAGGGCAAAACATAAACCAGAGTTGTATTTCAATTTTCTTTTCTTTTTTGGTAGGCAGTTCTGTTGTATCGGTGTTGCAGGCGGATACGCTTCTGCTTTGTGACACGCTGATGTTTTTAAGTCTCTGATGCACTGCATCACGCTGGCTAATCATTCACTAAATGGGTAAATACAAGTTGAACCAGCTTGTGTGCACTTTCTATTTGAAGGACTTGGACCCCAGACAAGCTACTACTTTTTTCTTTTTTGAACAGAATATCTGTACAGTCAGAGGTGATGACTGGGTAGATTTTGGCTGTCAATGTTTTGAAAGGAACTTTGCTTCTGTTATATCAAAGCCTGATTGGCTAAACAATACTTTGTCAAAGGGTCAAAGTAACTTAAAGCCATTCAGAGGGTATTGACTGTGTGTTGAGTGCTGCAGCAACACCCAGTTGTACTTTATGAAAATGGCCTCGGGGCCGGGGAAACGTAATAGTGGGCTTTCTACACAGCTATACATGTACACATGCCACAGGCTGAGCTGCACTTAATGTCTGAGTGGTTAAAAGTGCCCTCATTCATTTTGTGAATGAGCATGCCCTTTGGACTGTGGGTATTAGTTGCAGCTTAAATCATTTTGGGGGGATTTCCAAACAGCTGTAGTTTTTTTTTTTTCCCCTCAAATTGCCAAAAAGTAGACTCATCAATTATGTTTTATTAATTATTTAGTATAAAGTAAATACACTGGATATAATTGTTTATTTTTAGTTTGTTTGTTTAAACAGTATAGATGTTTTGTGGGGGTTTTTGTCTGTAACTAGCACGTTCTTTTTATGAACATCCTGATTTAACATTCAAGCACAGAAAGTATAATTTCAACTATCTGGAGAAACCCTTAGCATAGTTAAACACTCTGAGCTAATCTTCAATCTTCCTGCTGCTTTCCCTCAGGTCTTCAAGCAACGAGGGAGTGACATGCCTTTGATGGAAATTTCTGCCGAGTGATAGCGATCCAGCATGTAGCAGAGTCCTGTCACACCTGGGAACAGTCTGACTGCGTAAGTCAGCCTGTTTTTTTTTTGGGGGGGTTTTATGTGCTGCTAATGTTTCCTCTCTGAGAATTTCAGATTTCACTCTCTGCAGCTCATTTTGTCCGTAGTGGTCTTCTCCAACCCTCTGAGTGAGGATTAGATTAGCCTTTTCTGACCCAGGGTCACATTCATGCAATCTGTTGATGCCACCCAGGAGCTGTGGAATGGCCTTGACTGACCATCTGACAGCCTGAAAGGCAGTTTTAAAGTCACCATTCATTGACGTGACTTCCCAGCATTGGCCATTAGTCTTTGAACATTAAACTGCTTCTTCTGCTCATTATGTTTAACCAGCCATCAGGCACACTTCAGCTGCTGACCTGAAATACCCTCCACCACTGCAGCTGACCTTAGCAACCACCTGAGTCACAACACCCGTTAAGTGACCCCTACCACAGTCACGCTTTGTTTTAAGTTGCACATGTGGTAAAAGGTCATTTTTGGGATTCACCTCGCCCAGGCTGGGTTAATGACAAATCTGTCCAGTGGGGCTTCACACTCAGCCAAGCAAAGAAGTCTCCGGAGCCTGTTTTGACATTCAAAACGAACAGGCAATGGCTACAAATGTCCCCAGGCACCCAGCTTCTTTCTTTCTTTCTTTTTTCTTTTTTCTTTTAGCCATTAGTCATTGTTTCTCTGTGCAGCCACCTTCCTCCATCAGTTAAGCAAGAAGTACTGTAGCTTCGTTCTCTTAAGCTGCTTATCTCTTCCACAGCACAGTCAGGCACTGTTAATCTTGTCTTTTGTCTGGGTTGGTCAAATTCCTCCCCAGGAAGGTTGTTAAGTAAACTTTGAGTCTGAAACCTGTCCAGGCACGGGCAAAATTGCACCTTCAAGGCAAACTGTGATCAGCTTAATTTCCGCGTTACCTCTTATTTACAATATTATAAACAACGTTAGGAGTTTCTTTGTTTTGTGTGAAAACTGTAGATATTTATTCACAGACTGTTATATTCAGTCAGTCATAATTAGTACTTTTTGTTTATTTTGTTACTTACACACACACATCTAAAGCACATACTGTTGTCATGTCACAGCTGTGTGGGATCTCAGACCTTAATGAGGAGTTTTTCCTCCAAACAGCTGAAGGCTAAACTGGTCAAATGTAGTCCAAGGACAAACATGAGGCATTTCAGGCCAAACCCGTGTTTCAAGAATGCAGCAATTAAAACTTTGTCTCTGCTGAGATGTTTTGACAAGCTGAAAGCTTTGAGTTTGATTAGGCGTCTTTAATAAATGGACACTGAAGTGCTGTTCAGTAAGTGAAGCTTTCTTTTTTCCACACTTGGAGTGCTTTCTGTTTCTCCTGCCCTCTGTTTTCTTCTCTTGCTGGCTTCTCTGAGACCACATGCTCAGCCCTCTGTCCAGCTGCCACCTGCTAGCAAAGAGTCGGCCAACCACGGGCCCACGCGGCCGACCTCGGCAGATGTCACTGAGTGGACACTAGGAAGGGGGTGGGTGGGAGTGCAGGCAGAGTAACGGCAAAGAGCAAAAGAGCGAGGCCAAAAAGGGATAGGAAAAAAGGATTGGCCTTGGCCATTATGTTTTGACTGACATCGACAAAGTAATGTGTGTGTGTGTGTGTGTGTGTGTGTGTGTGTGTGTGTGTGTGTGTGTGTGTGCTTTGTGCTACTACTGACACTGTCTAGTAGACTAAACATTTTTATCATTAACAGGAAAGATCACTGCAACTAAAGATTATTTTAACATTTCATATGTGTCAGGTTTTTTTTTAATGATTGACTTCAAATGTAGGTTTTTTCTGACCAACAGTTCAAATTCTGAGAAGCCAAATTGAGCAAAGTTTGCACATTTTTGTAGAAAAATGAACGTTGTTCACATGAGATCATGTAGATTTTAGCATCCAGTTCGGGGTTGTGGTTGGATGGAGCCTGGATCTGTTGGATTTAACTTTTATAAAGTTCTAAAATATAAAACGTGGGTCATGCTTCATGTCTGTGATGAGATCTGAGCTTGGAGATTCATCCTGCATTTTAGGCTTGTGCAGCTTGATGCATAAACCCATATTGGTTCTGAAATATTTAAGCTGGTTGCGCCAGGTGGTAGTTGATTAGCAGTTTTCAATAAAAACAAAATTTGACTCACACCATCAGAGCACAGTAGTGTTTATTTGAAACATGAATACATTTTCTTCAGAGATCTGTTGCTTTTTAGATTTTGGCTCTCTGTTGAGCTTGCTATTAGCACACAGGAAATAATCAATAACTTGAGATGAGAAAAACCATGACTGTATTCATTTCCTCATGCTCCTCTTTTCTCTCCCCCTCTCTCTGCTCCCACAGATAATGGGGAATTCATACGCAGGGCAGCTGAAGTCTGCCCGATTTGAGGAGGCTCTCCACAACTCGATTGAGGCGTCCCTGCGCTCGAGCAGCGGGGATCCACAACCCATCTTCACACAGCTGTACTTAGAGCCTGAGACGTATCCTGGTAACATGGAAGGTAAGAAGCTCACAGCAAGCTGGAAAAAAATCAGTTTGAACTATATTGAGTTCATTGGACAGCTAGTGCTTTAGAGACTTAGCCTTATGTAGCATATATTTAAATTTTGTCAGAGGGTTCATTAAACATTCCACTTTTCTGTTGAAGTATTTCTTAAAATGCAGTTAAATTTTTAGTAAAAATAATCTTACATTTTTGTAGTTGATAGGAAGTCGAAAGCTGGCGTAGCACTCCATGGCAGGGAGCACCCAGGGCACGAGCTTGTGAATGGCAACTCTTCCAACGATCTGGAGGAGCTGGAAGACGAAGACGACTCGGACACCAGCAGCCCTCCACTTCCCTACCTGCAAGCTCCTGCACCGGATGGCTGCTGCACCCTGGATGGTATGACCTCTATGCATCCATCCATCCATCCATTCTCTTTTGCTTATCAAATCCCACCCCCCTGGGGCATTTCTGTGTGGAGTTTGCATGTTCTCCCCGTGTCTGTGTGGGTTCTGTCCGGGTACTCTGGCTTAGTCCCACAATCCAAAGACAAACAGTTAGTGAGGTTAGGTTTATTGGTGATTCGAAATTACTCATAGGTGTTAATCTGGCATGTGAATGCAAACGTTGTGAATTCATTAGTATGATCTCAGGAGTGTTGTGTTGTGTTGCTGTTCCAGAATTTTTAACAAGCATGTCAGATGTATTACATTTTTGTAGAAACTTTATTTGTTTATTATTACATCTCTTAATCTACTGTTTACTTAAAAAAAAAAAAAATTTCCTCCTCCTCATCTCTCAGGCTTCTGTCAGGCCGGGAAAGACCTCCGCCTAGTCTCCATAGCAACAGAGCCCATCGAAGTCCCAGCAGGCTTCGAGCTGGTCGGTGCCAAGTCCCCCACTGTTCCTGAGCACATCTTGGTGTGCGCCGTGGACCGGCGTTTTTTGCCTGACGAGAATGGGAAAAATGCACTTTTAGGTCAGTGTGTTCCCGAGCGTTCGGATCAAGTAAACGAGCCAAAATTGACGTAATGAGCCAAAGTTCCTGCTGAACTGAGCACGCTCTGTTGCTAGCTGGCACAGGTCATGCATTAGCCTGCAAATGTTTGGAAAGCAATGTAATTGTTGCATTTTTATGTCTTTTGCAGGTTTTTCAGGAAACTGTGTGGGCTGTGGTGAAAAGGGATTCAGATACTTCACCGAGTTTTCCAATCACATCAACCTGAAACTTTCCACACAGCCCAAAAAGCAGAAGCACTTAAAATACTACCTGGTGAAGAATTCTCAGGGTGCTTTGTGCAAAGGACCCCTCATCTGCTGGAAAGGTAAATATACACTACAGACTCCAGACTTTCTAAAGATGTATGTAAAGTATATCAAACTTTTATCTTACACTGCATTTTGTGAGGGTTTGATGAGTTTTGTTTCTTTGTTTCTCCTTCCTCTGTTTCTTAGACGGTAAAACGCGCCAGTTTCTCAGCAGCGCATCAACCTCCAAACCCGGCTCGTCGTCTTCGCTTAGCAGTAAAGAAAATGGAGGTGCCAGCGGACACAGCTCCTCTCCTTTTTCCCTTTCAGGTGAGATTATACTCTGCAGTGTTGCCTATGTTTTTACGCAGCAGAGTTAAACCTGCAAGTCAGCAGCTGAAATTTAACGATAACTCAAGTAAGTTGCATTAATTGTGAGTGTGTAAAGTTTACAAAAGAAATTAACAAATTTCACCTACTCCTGTTTAATAAGGTTGTTTTTCCTTTTTTTTTCATCCCCTTTTGTCTCCTCCTGGGAATGAGCCAGGCATCTTAGGCAAGTGTTTAAAGCACTACACTATGATCGTATAACATGTAAAAATGGCTGTAAAATTAAAGCCAGTGAGGAACTCTTGTAGATTTTATGTATGTTTAAAAAAATAAATACACACAGGCAGTTGTTTTATTACCCCCTTTTACAAAAAAATACAATACAAAGATGTTTTATGATGTTTCTCATTTAGCAGCTTAAATCTCACCCCAAACTCCAAGTCAGCAAGCCTTGCTTCTTACTCAATTATTATTGTTTTGCTTATTTATGTATAATCATTATTTTGGCACAAAGACAGCAAAAGAGACAGAAACTGAGAGAAACTTGAACGATGTGGCTAAACTGAAAGATTAATTAGCCCAGCAGGATGCTAAGGCCACCCAGAGAGTTTCATCTCCCATAGCTGGGCATGGTTTGTTGTGTTTTTTTGGTCCTGTCAAACTTACACTCAAACAGATCTATTAGAGTTTCAAATTTAATGGATGGATAGATGTTAATTCACAGTAAGATAATCTGTCGCACTTTCAGGGAAGTTTATAAACTGTGTAAATAAGTCTGGACTTCAAGTCATCAAGTGTAGCGTAATAATGACAGTATACATTTATCTATTCCACCAAAGTGATATTGTTTCAGTTGATTATATGCTGACAGCTTGTGCTGTTGCTATAGGATTTGGTTGCTAAGCTCTGAAATATAAGAGTTGATCTTGAAACACCATCTCGCTGCATTAAGCTATTTATGAGGCTTTGTTGGTCGTGTGCCACTGCATTTGGTTGCGGCAGTGCTTTGATGTGTATTCTGGCTGCATAGTGACATTTTATTAGAAGTAAATTACAAATAGTAAAAGTTTGTTAGTTTTTAGTACATTTTAACCAGATTTTTCAGTTTACCACGATGGCTAACTAGCCAATGCTTACTTTTGTTAGTGTATCTGTTCCAGTCTACAGATTCTGATAAGTTTTGTTTGATTCGGATTATTTTTCATAAATTTTAGCTTCAGATATTTTTAATATCTGAAGCTAAAATTTCACTGAAATCTTTGGAAGTGTTCGAATTTTCTACCCTAAAATAGTATTCAAATCGGAGACAGTCAAGGAGAAGGCTTGGTTTATTTTATGCTTTTGAAAAGCATCCTCTTATCAACTTGGCTACTTTTTTGGTAATGCAGGTGAAAATAAATGCAGGAATTTAAAAGCAACACAATTAAATAAAGCTCTGGTTATTTATAGAATAACCATGTTGACTCTTCAAGGAGATGTTGTTCTTCTTTGACCTTTCACAGCGAGAGTTTGTTCCTTCTATGATTGGAAAACCTCCTGGGTTTATAGTATTGATTTGTTCTTAACCTGGATGCTGCTTGTAAGCATAGCTCTTGCACGTTAATGTAGACAGCTGTGCTGCAGGGCTATGTATCGGCAGTACTCTCGCCTGATGTCTCGTGACTGCGACCTTCAGGTACATCCTTCTCCTTCAGAGGTTTTTGACACTCATGCTTTGAAAGCCCATAGGGTAGAATTCATAATAATTCACTTCACTGTCTCCAACTCAGGTCACTGTATTCTAGAGCGATTGATGAGAAGGACAGTTCTGGTCTGTTAATAATTGTACAATTGACAGTTCATACTGACACAGATCTGATAGTTTGACATTTGTTTGAAGGCCAAAGGCAACAAAATGACCAATCACAGGAAAGGTGTGTGTTAAAGCCACAATCCAGAGTTATCAGAAACATTCGTATGAAGTCGGTGGACAAGGGAACCATGCATCATTGGGTGCATAGTAGCTGTGTTTTGATATTGTAATGCTTTTCTTTTTATCTACAGATTCTCCACCTACCAGAACAACGCAAGCATCCTCTGTCTTTTTTGGGAACCAGGAATGTAGTTTCCTCAAACCACTGGCCTCCACACCTGGAAACAAGACTCTACCAATAGGTGAAGAGTTTGATTGGTACATTTATAGCTGTGCATGTCAGTTTGTTCTGTATGTGGTAGGAAATAAACATGATAACATAAAAACTGTAGTCCCACATACCTGATGTATCCATGCTTCAGTGCTGGAATTTAAAATTTAGCTCCTGGCAAAACTTTACCTCAAGCTTTGTGTAAAAAAACAAAACAAAAAACTTCATGAATATAAGATTGATTTATGCTACAGACTGCTTAGAAACACACAGATACATGCATGTGCTTACTTACCAGTCAATGCTGGAGGAAGAAATGCTATAATGATTTTTTAAGGCCTTGCTATCTATTAGCTCCTTTACAAGGTTGCTATATTGACAAGCTAAGGGTACGCATAGCAATTGATGTTTTTGTGTGTTGCATACACTGTGAATATGAGATGGAAACATGGCCAATTGCTATAAGAGTGTACGTAGAGGAAATCAATAGCCTGCTGTTAGTACTGACTTATTTTTATTCATTGGTTACTCTGCAGACAGTTATAGTTGGGGGAAATATTTTTATATTTGCATATCACTTGTTCGCTTTTTCGTTATCCATTCAACTTTTTGTAGCATGCTGGCAGTTAGCCACTGTGCTGCAGGCTGAAATATTGCAACATGGCACCATTGTGTAAGGAGAGCAGGGAGGCAGACCAGCATAGTGACAGAAACTGGAAAGGCAGGAGCAGTTTTAAGGTGGATTATTGATAAAAGCACAAAGCTGAAGTTTGCAGGCAAGTTGGCAGTTAGACAAAATAAGACGGGAGAGCAGAGATCAGAGTCCACAAAGCATGGAAGTGGTCAGGTACAGGTCAAAACAGATTGGGGATGATTTCAGAACACACAAAGATAATCTACAGATTGTAGCATAAATGTTGCAGGAGTTAAAAGCATGGATAGAGTTGAGCAGGTGAGATTTGCAAGCATGTAAGGTAGATTTGGTGTGTGACTGCATGCAGACGACTTAAAGAGTAAAGAAATCTCAGTAGTGACTCATTCACAGACGAGGCTTTAGTTTATAACTAGATGGCTAGAATGAGTCAATCAGTGCTTTGAGTTTAAACATTACACCAAAAAGAAACAACGTGTCAGCGTTATTATTGTGAGCTTATTATCTCGGCAATGTTGCAGTTTCACAAACTGTATTAATGCGTAATCTGTGTTTCAGTACCCACAGCTCTTCGGGTGAATGTGCCAACAAATAGCCTGGCTGTTGATGGGCGCCCTCCATTACTCAGCCCCTCCCAGATGTCCTTAGGGCCTCAAGGTCAGGGGTATCGCACTGCTGATTTAGGAGATAGTCCCGGTAGGATCCTTTCTGAATACGTACCGTGTGTTATTTTTAATTATTTTCTGTATTGACATTTTTTCTTACTTGTCTGTCTTTAATGTTTAGTATTGTCTGCTATGAACTCTGGCCCTCCAAAGAAGCGCCACCGGAGCTGGCACCCCAGCTCGTTGGTGCCAGTCCCGCCAACAGCTGTCCCTGTGCCAGCTATTCGGCCAATAGTTTGTTCTCCAGGTTTGTTTGTTAAGCCACCTTCAGGGGGATGGGGGGAGGGGGAGCAGTTTATTTTCTTCTGGGTTTTAAATTTATCCTGTTATACCAAGTGTTCCTTTTTTTTTTTTTTTTAAATCCATTAACGCTGGATTGGTGAGCATGTGTGTGCAAAGGAGTGTGTGCAGGGAAGTGTCTGCACACCCTCATTCCCCATGCCTCTGTTTGAGGATGAGTATGCACTAATGTCCCTGACGCTCTCTGGTTGTTAAGGATGATTCACCCAGCATTGCCATGGTGATAGAGCTGGACAGTTTGTAGGGCAAGTGAATTTAAAAGAATTGCACGATTAGAGATTTCTGCCACATTGTGTATTTAGGCGAGCTGACAGAAATAATAAAAAGGCAATCTGGGCAGAAGGGCCAGAATGAACAGGGTGTACATGGTTGCTAATAAAATAACCAACAAAAATTGTTCTTTTGTTCCACTAAATCAGCCACTGCAGGAATTAGGATGTGCACATTTTTTTCTCCATAACAGGAGCATCATTAAATCCGTGTTGTGTCCTGGTGAGATCACCAGGATAAAGCTATCCAGCTGTATGTGTCTGTAAATATGAACATAATGTTATGTCTTCACTAAATGTCTCACATCCATCCAGTTTACATGTAAATATAAACATCTCTTTAAAGAAAGTATACAGCGCATAAGGAGCTTATTTTACTAATATTAGTCAATTAATTTGAAGTTTTCCCTTTAAAACAATCAGTCTTATTTGTATACAGGCTAGTTACAGATAATTAGCAGGCAGATAATAAGACAGCAACTGGTAAAAAGAGAAGACCAATTTAAGACAAAGTTTAAAAAGTGTCCCCTAAGTGTACATAAGTGAAATAAAAGCAGTTAGAAAGATGAGCAATTGCAAAGCATCATAAACTAGTACTAATAAATTAGAAAAAAAATGCTGACAAGAAGTCAGTAAAGCAAGTGATAAATAAATATTCGATAAAGTAACTGTTTATAATCACGCAATCCTTACTATTGACTTACTAATCTGAGAGTAAAAGTCTGTGGTTATAGATACAATTAAGTAAATTAAATGAATCTCTATAGAGCATCGGCAGTCAAAAAGTTAGGCTTTAGGTTTATATTTCAAGATTTCAGTACATCTAGCTGCTTTCAGGTATGTCACCAGACTGTTCCGGCGGTTCAGGCCATGAAAGCTAAAAGCTGCCTCCCCAGAGGTTTTTGTCCTGCACTATGGAACAACTCCTGACTCCTGAGGAGCTGAGGGGACTTAATAGTTCTGACATTAGATGCACTGGAGACACATAATCTGAAGCGTTAAAGTATACAACAACACTGAAAAAGACAATGAGCAAAAATATGTTTTTCTTACCTTCTGACTTGGTTAACAGGAACTGGGACTTTTTAAAAAATGTTTTCTTGACTCACAGCCAGTCAGCGTGTTTCTGCATCCTTGTTGTTATTGGTATCTCAGAAGCATTGTCTGCATGTCAAACATGTTGAAACATCTCCTAAACTGTAACTATGGCTAAAGTTTGTACTGACACGTAATTGCTTTATCATCCTTAAGGGCCGGTATTAGGAGTAGCCTCTCCTCAACCACCTGTAATAGGCGTCATTCAGCCCCAGCCTGTCACGATTGGAGAGACGGTCATCGTGCCCGACAACCTACTCAACTCTGCAGGAGTCCGACCTGTCATCCTCATTGGTACCAGTTTTAATTCACTGATATGTTTCTTCATATTAAACATCACCTTTCAGCGCATATAAAACCCATTTTAATGCAAATTATTGTATTTTTTGTTTGCTTAAACTGTAAAAGGCAGTAAAAAAAAATCTGTGTGATGCATTTTTGTGGATCTTTTTTAATCTTAATCCGATTGAATACACATTCGTCAAGTAAATAGGTAGACTTTGCTAGTACCAGGTTAGACGTCTTTTGTCTTCAGAGCTGCTTTTATTCTTATTGGCATAGATTCAACAAGGTGCTGGAAACATTCCTCAGATATTTTTCTCCTTCAAGGTGCACCGTGTTGAGTGTTCAGAGATGCTCGTCTGCATTCCTTGGTCGTAACGAGTAGTTTTCTGAGTTTCTATTAGCTCGAAGCGGACTGTCTTCTTTTTTTACTCAAATTCATACACTCACTGGATGTGTTTTTTTTGTTTTGTTTTTTTCTTATTTGGACCATTGTTTGTAAACCCTAGAGATGGTTGTGTGGAAAATTTACACTTAATTTCTGTAGGTTTCTGAAATGCTCAGACCAGCACGCCCAGCACCAAAAAACCATGCCAGATTCAGTCACTTAAATCCCTTTTCTTCCCCCTTCGGATCAGTCTGAACTTAAGCGGGTGCCATGTGATGGCCTGTTAGATTTTTTTTTTTTTTTTGCCTTAAACAGTGGAACACGTGTACCTAATAAAGTGGCTAGTGGGAATAAGGTCTGCTTAGTTTTATTTATGTATTTATTGAATCTTTATTTAATGACAAATTCCCCTTAAGATTAACAACTATTTTTCAAGGGAGACCTGACCAAGACGGCAATGTTACATCAAAAAAACGACTCAGTCAAAATAATAATTAGCTTCTTACAAAGTTTTATAGCTCAAATGTTAAATGTTTTACACATCTTAAGTGGGCTTTTTTTGTTTGTTTGTTAGGGTTTTTTTCTGGTTCATCTAATGCCAAGTTTTTGTTTTTAGGCCATGGCACTTTACCTTACTTCTATGGAAATGTTGGGGACATAGTGGTGAGCCCCCTGCTGGTCAGCTGCTATAAAAGCAGCCAACTGTCAGATAAAACCCTGGAGGCTCTGGGGCTCAACAGCAGCCGGTTACTCAGCGTGGAGGCGATGATTCTGCTCACTCTACAGTATTTTGCACGTTTAGGTAAGCAGCCTACACAATCACTGCTAGATGTGTGTGTTGCTGAAATGATTCATGCCAGTGTTTTTAGATTTTCATATTTGAATTTTCCTCTGGAGGTTCAGAGCAGATTCCTCTGAGGGAGGAGCTGGAGCAGATAGTCTTGAAGGCCATGCTGTGCTGTCCCGGGGGACCTGCCATCTCCCCCCTCCAACTACCTTGGCTGGCTCGGCTGGAAGCGAGCGTCTCTGGCGGCAGCGTCCAAGTGGTGGTCACAAACAACTCTTTGGGCGAAGGCATCTCTGAGTCGCTGCGCTCTCTGGCTGAGGGTCCTCCTCAACAGCAGTGCGTGCCAACCTATGTGGTCATTATATGCGCCTCTAAGATGAGCGGCAGCGAGTTCTGTGTGATTGTGTTGGGTGAGTGTCATCTTTGTGGTGAAACTTGTGTGGGATGCAGTATCTAGACTGAACTCTAATGTAAATTTACCTGTTGGATTCAGGAAAGTATCAAGCGCGGGCCTTAGCAGAAGGGATGCTCACAACCAATGAATTTCTGAAAGAAATCAGCTACGAGCTCATCACGGGGAAAGTCAGCATCTTGACATCTCATTTCAGAACCACCTCTCTGGGTAAGATGAGTATCCATAAGTTGTGTTCATTAAAATAATCTTGAGAAAAATACTAATTTGTCTTTTACTAATCATTTTTGTCTCTACTAGCAGCAAAACGACAGTTACTGAACCACATTAAAAGTGAGCATGATCAGAAAACGCAACGGTGTAAAATAAATAAAGGAATTCCTATATTTGAATTAATGTTGTTTAGAATTGAGATAAACATCAACTAAAACCTTCGCTGCTAATAATAAAAAGCACGACGGTGGTGGTGGTGACACATTCACTCTGATATGTTTGATACTGAGTGCACAGCCTGCTCCCGTCCCTCGCTCTGTGTAACTGTGGTGACTGCTTGTTTCCAGGGGACAACCTCGACAAACAGCTGGTGCGATACCAGCGCAGGCGGAAAGGACAGGTCATCCAGCCCTTTCAGGGCGATGTCACCGACAACATCCACTCCCAGGAAGCTGCCAGCATGTCACCACCATCAGACTCAGGTTAGACCGCTCTCATGCTCGCTGTCAAAGTCTTTTTCAGTTTTTAGCAAGCAAATCAAAGACGAGGCAGCAACATCTGTCTAAATCAGCATGTGGATCTTCATTCAGTGTCAATGTTAAGTCAGGCCAGTGTCCAGAACAAAATCAGTTAAGGTTAGTTTGAGCTACGGAGTGTTGTTTGGCCCTGTACCTCATCCCACAGCGAGCCACACCTCTTAAACTTTGAATTCAGTCTTTTTTCTTTTTTAAGTCCCATTATCACAGGTGTATAAAATCAACCATGTAGATCTACACTTATTTTCCTTTTCGTTACCGTGTGTGTGACTAATCTTACTGCACAGTTTAATCGTTCTGACTGGATCTCGTCTCTCCAGATTATTTTCATCTCGTTGTAATTTGTTGACAAAAGGGTGGCTACGGTACATGTGCAGGTTGAGGTGACTGCTGTTGTGATTTGGCACCATTTAAAAAAGATCGAAATTAATTAAATTAAATTTCATCATAGTTTGTTTTGGGGAGGTTTGTTTAGGCAAGCAGTGATACTTTGCTGTGGTTAGGATCTGCTTTTCACATATAATCATCCTGGTGCTAACTTTTGTGTTTCTTCTTGCAGATCTTTTTACAAAGGGCTTCCAGATCTATCCGGCCCAGCTTAATGTGGCTCGTAGCCTTCTTTCTCAAGTGTGCTCCATCGCGGATTCAGGGACACAGAACCTCGATTTAGGGCGTTTTTGCAAGGTGGACTTCCTGGTTTTGGTCCCACCGTCTCACATTCTGGTCCACCAGACGGCACAACGCATCCGACAATCAGGTGTGTACAAACCCAAAGGAAGAACTGTTGTTGTTTTGTTGCAGTGCTGTATGGAATCCTCACGTTTTTGCCTTAGGTGTACTTGTGGACCTGGGAAATGAAGACCCCTCCACGGCCCACCTGAAGTCAGACAAATATGTGGTGCGTCTTGACGGTGATGTTCACGCCAAGATGGAGGCCTTCATGAAGAAAGTCAAACAGAACCCCTACACTCTGTTTGTCCTCATTCACGACAACTCGCACGTCGACCTCACAAGGTAAAGGCGACTCCGACAGCACAGATTCTCCCATTAAAACCATTATGGCTCACTTTGTTTTGCTCTGCTGATAATTTAAAGCAGCCTTTAAAGAAGAAGAACTGACTTTTCAAGCTATTTCACCATTGAAGAGAAATGTTGATATTGCAATGAAAGCATGAGAGTTTTGCTAAAGTTGTTGTCAAACATTCTTAAAGTTATTGTAAGAATCTTTCTTCGCTTGTGCAAATACTAAAGTTCAGTCATGTGAACACTGTCGACGGCCAGTAGGTGCTGTCTTTTCTCATTGTGGCATGTAATTTTACAACAAAACACCGTTTATTGTTAAAGTTCTTTTTAATTCCCTTTATTATCATGATGGGGAAATGCTCAATCTTTCAGTCTTGCTGGTCGTCACCCAGTGAGATCCCCTTTGCAAAGATTAGAAACATGCAAAGCTGTAGTATATTTTAGTCTTTTGCTTTATGCTACATGTCAGTTTCAGTCTTTAATTTTAGTTAACTATTATAGCTTGTCTTTCTTTGTTTTGTTTTGAGGTTGTTTTTTTTCCTCCCAAGAATTTTTTTCTGTTATTGCCAGAACACTAAAACAGATCACTTCCTTTTTCCCAGAGGGGATTATCTTTGGACCGACCTCCCACACATCAGCCAGTTAGACCAGCATACAAAGCTTTTTGCACAAAGTTGTTATTTCAAAACCATGTTGAGTGTTATTAAGTGCTTACTAATCATAGTAAGTAAAAAAATATCCATGAATTCATTCAAACACTTTCCCCACCCTGATCTATTTTCAGTGCCCTGTCAGGCTCTGTGTGCCACGGGGAGCTGCAGGGTTTGGCTGACCGGGTGGTGAACTGTCAAGAAGTCTTAGATGCCATGAACCTCTTGGTCCTGCAGGTCAGCTGTTTCCCTTACACTTTGCAGACCCGCCAGTCTCGAATCAGCATCCACAATGAAGTTCACTGGCCGTCCAACGACAATCTGGTAAGCATGTTTGTTTGTTTGTTTGTTTGTTTGTTTGTTTTACATCCATCCATTCGCTTCCGCTTACCCTTTTTCAGGGTTGCGAGGGGCGCTGGAGCCTATCCCAGCTGTCATAGGGCGAGACGCAGGGTACACCCTGGACAGGTCGCCAGTCTGTCACAGGGCTAGCACACAGAGACAGACAACCATTCGCACTCACATTCACACCTATGGGCAATTTAGATTAATCAATTAACCTATCCCCACTTTTTTTTTTTTTTTAAACACTAAAACGTTTCTTTAGTTATGAGTTACGCAGAATGGTCTACAAAACACCACGATAGGCAGTCACTGGAATGGCAAATACTAATTACTTATGTGAATTATTTATCATAAATGACTTTACTGCAGCACACTGGCATATTTCCTGTGCTGTGGTTTAGCTACTCCCCCTGCTGTGGTGAAACTGCAGTTACAGTTTTAGACATTTTTTAAAAAGGGTCTAAAGTAACTCGAGCCTCGTGTTAAGGAATTACAAGTCGGAGAGAAAGGGAACCAATATATTATAGAACACATTAGGCTCACTTTCTTATCCAGTATTATATATGAGGATACTTACTCCATGTTTTGTAACTAGGCACAGCGTTTCAACAGTGTGCAGTGTATCATTAAGAACAGTCAGGACACATTGTCTAAACTGATGTCGGTATCTTTATCGTCCAGCAGAGGGAGCAGTTTCCTGACGAGCTGGTCTACTTTGGCCTGAGGGACTACAGCAGATCCCTGCAGTGGGGCATGGCCAGTCCCATCCTGCGCTATGATGATGCGTTTGAGAAAATGGTTCACACTCTGTTGGAAAGGTAAGAGTGAGGTGAAACTGATGAATCAAACATGAAGAGTTTTGTATTTACTTCCACTGAGTGGGTAACGCATAATAACTGTAGACATTATAATCAGTTAAAAAGCTCTGATTGTACCTCCAGACATCCCCACCTACACAGCATGGTGATCCGCAGCTACCTGCTGATTCAGCAGTACACTGAGGCCATGATGGCTCTCACCTCTTCCCCGTCCCTGAGAGACCACATAACTCCAGAGACCCTGGCCATGGTGGAGGACTTGATAAACGCTCCAAGCAGAGAGGGCTCCCAGGGCCACGGCCACATGCTGCTGGTCCGTATCCCCTCGCTGCAGCTGGCAATGTTGGCCCGAGAAAGACTGGAGGACGTGAGGGACAAGCTGGGACTGCAGCTGTGCTTTGCAGTGCTGCTGGGAAGTCCTGCGTCTGAGCTCAACCTGCACAGAAATTTTATCAGTCGCCTCAGGGTGAGGAAAAATCAGAGTCACACGACTGATCTCTTTCTGTGAAGTGTGTTCTGCTGAATGTAGAGTGTTGGGATCCATCTGCATTTTTGCAGATCAGTCATTATCAGGGAGTTTACATGATTTTGCGAATCTGTTGTGCACTTTTGTACAATGAAAAAATAGTTTTGCCTCATACTTTGTCTGCATGATTAAAGTCTCATGCATTTTTTGTTTTGTTTTTAGTTTTTATAAATAACCTGTAACTGAAGAGGGCACACTTTGATTTTCATCTCTTTTTGTCAGGCTTGGCAAGGCTGTGAGAATGAAGACTGGGTGCCACACACCTATGAGGATCTGGAAGGGCTGCCCTGCATCGTCATCCTCACGGGCAAAGACCCTCTTGGAGAGACTTTCCCCAAGTAATATCATACTTAATACTACCCTAGCTTATAACATGGCTCAGTATGTCTGTTTCTTTAACATAAAATGTAGCAAAGATCCGTTTAGCTCTTCTCTAAAACTCTTGTCTCCCATCAACTCCTTTGTGCACTTCTAGGTCTTTGAAATACTGCGACCTGCGACTGATAGACTCCAGCTACCTGACTCGTACAGCCCTGGAACAGGAGGTGGGTCTGGCATGCACCTACGTATCCAGGGTTGTTGTTCCTAAACCAAAGAAGGCTATGGCCCCTCGGGAATCGGATGTGGAGAAGGTCGCCACCAGCTTGAATGATGGAGATGAGCTGGAAAGACCTCAGAGCAACGGCAGCGCTGCAACCAGAACCTCTGGTTAGTGTGAATTACTGTGATGTTGGATTAAAGGAAACCCAGAGTGTAACTGACATGAGCTTAACTCTAATTGATTTCTGATTACAGTAAAGCAAGTCGACCATAATACATGGGTACTGTAAATGAACGCGGGTCATAGCTTTGGAATGAGTTTGGTTTGTAGAAAATTTGGTTTTAATCCAAAGAGAGAAAAAAACCCTCCAAACATGTGAGCACTTGTTAGTTACATATATGTGCGGGTGTGTCTTTCATATTTCCCTCAGGCTCTTTGGCGGATAATGGTGTCAGCTCATCTGATGTTGCAGACTCTTTCCAGAAACCCTCCACTTCCACCTCGCAGCCTGAAGGCATGGTCACCATAGACATGGGCACATCAACACTCGGAATTAAGGAGGAGTGCGACTCACTGGGAACCCCGCTCTCTTCCGACCCTTCGAAAGCCTCCAAGGCTCCTCCATCCCTCTACTCCAGTTCCTCATCTTCCTCCCCCTCACCATCTTCCTCCTCCACCCAGAGGCCCAGCCAGTCCACGCAGAGCGATCGCGAGCCCACGAGGGCATCACCGCGCACAGTCATCTTGTCGCGAGCGGCTTACAATCTGTTGTCGGGGGACTCTGGGAGTCAGCTGAGCTCCTCCTCGCTGCTCCCTCACGCAGACGTGGCCTGGAGCAGTCCGCTGAGGCCCATTATCACTCACACCCTGCAGGGGACGGAGCAGAGCATGTACTACCGCCAGTGGACCATCGCGCGGCAGCATCATGCTGATTATGAAGCGCCGTCTGTGCCGCATCCTCGACGCTTGCTGCTCAGTGGACCCCCACAGGTAACAAATCTCGTGTGGAAAATACTCCTTTTCTTATTTGTGACTAACTTGATTTAAAAATAGAATACAGAGAATTCTTTTTAAAAATTTTCTTTAAATTTATTGGCATCCATATAAATTTATGCAGTTAATTCCTCATCTGGATTTAAGTGTCACTGTAGTTCTACTGGTATTCTTTCCTTTCCTTCGCTAGGTGGGAAAAACTGGCGCCTACCTGCAGTTTCTGCGTATCCTGTTTCGGATGCTCATCAGGCTGCTCGAGGTCGACGTGTATGATGAGGATGAAGTGGAGGAAGGTGAGACTCATAGGGATTTGTTTATTTTTAATGGCCTTCACATTTTGTGAAATACATCAGATTTATTATGAAGCAGTTAATTTGATGGTGACAAATGTATCAAATCACCCTCCACAGAAAATTCGGAGGTCACAACTCTAGTAAGTACCCAGTGGCCGGACATCGAGGAAGTCCGAAAGCTGCCCTTTGACCCCAACCTCCGAGATCCTAAATTCAGGAAAGCCAGCCCTGTTTACTCTGACAAGATGCTAAAGTCTTTCAAAGGTCAGCAAAAACATGGGAAAAAAACCCATCAAACTTGCCCACTCTGAGTTCAGCTTTTTAATCGGGTGTTATTAAAAAATGAACTTACGTTTTTTATGTTTATATAGATTGTAAGCAAGATAAAGAGAACCAAACTCCAGCCACACGAGTGACCAAGTCGATACGTCAGAGTAGGTTTGCTGCCCACAATGCCTTTCATCACTGTGACCAGTGCCATCACTACTGTGAAGCAGGCGCAGCTACACAGGTGAGATGCACCACCAACACCTTCTGCTTTACTGCAGACTTACAGATGCACATATCCCATCCTTGTGTTAATATTGTACATGTGTGTGTGGTTGTGTTGTAGCTGTCGGAGTGCACTTTTCATGCTTTCACCTTCTGCTCGTCCATGCTGGGAGAGGAGGTCCAGCTCCAGTTTGTGATTCCCAAATCTAAGGAGCAGCACTTTGTTTTCAGTCATCAGGGCAGCCACCTGGAGAGCATGCGTCTGCCTCTGGTCTCCACCAAGGTTAGTTTGCTCAAGACAGCAGTATCTGTCGCGCCTTAATCCTCCTAATCGCCGTTTGGGTCACATGTTTACTTTTGCTTCAACCGTGTTTATCTGTCTGCAGGACCCCGACCTTCTCAGGAGTCCAATCTTCACCCCGACCACAGGACGCCAAGAACACGGCCTGCTGAACATTTTCCATGCCACGGAGGGCGCAGCTCATCTGCACGTCCTCGTGGTCAAACAGTTTGAGATGCCTCACTATAGGAAGTACTGGCCCAACCACATCTTGCTCGTCCTGCCCGCCATGTTCAACAACGCTGGAGTTGGTGAGCAGCTGAGCTATCTCTGTTGTTAAACCTGACAGTTTTTTGATCCTAACTAAAATATATTTAAAATATTTCATTCTACTTGCAGTCGATATAAATTTTTTTCCCCATATCATCGTTTTTTCTTGCCCTCGCTTGTGTTTGTTGTCGTGATTTGCATGGCAGCAGATGCTAAAAAAAAAAAGAATAGCAGGAACTTGTGTTACATTGCTCACTCGCTCTTGTATGAGCAAAAATAACTAAATGGAGACCCTCTTATGAAAGCCTTTCTCCACAGCACTACTAGTGGTTGAAAGTCCACACAGTGGCGTTCAGCCTTTACATGACAGCTTATCACTCTGTTGATAATGAGTAATTCGTTGCAGTGTATTATCTACCATGGCTGTGTTTTCAACTTGTTTTTAGTGCTGTGTTTAAACTAGGCGAAAGGTTACCTGTTGCCTTACCCAACGCGAGAAGGTCAGCCATCTATTGTATCAGTCTGATTTGTAGTGCAGCCAATTAGGTGCAAGGCCTTTCTGAAGTGGGTGTAACTAAACAACATTTCTCTCAGATAAGCAGATGGCATTGGGCTAAAGATGACCCTTTATGTCAGTGTGACTGCTTTCTAATCAGGATAGACTTCTCTGCTGAATACCTAAACATATTTTTATCTGCAGTGCCCGACAGAGTGTAGAGACTGCAGGCAGGCTGGAGTGGGTAGAGATGAGGAGAGTGAAAGGGAAGGTTTACAAGATGGTAGTGAAGCCTGAGATGATGTAGGATTTGGAGAGCGGGGCACTGGGAAAAATAAATAGACGGATGGTAGAGTTGAAGATGTAAAGATTTTTACTCGGTTATCAGAATGGACAGATTAGAGGGACAGCTCAGGTTGAGCGATTTGGAGGAAAAATGTTAGAGAAAAATGGTTGAGATGTTTTGGGCATGTGCAGAGGACGGATAGTGGCTAAATGGAGCTGCCAGGCAGGAGAGAAAGAGGAAGACCTCAGAAGAGGTTCATGAATGTAGTGTAGGAGGACATGCAGAGGGTTCGTGTGACAGAAGAACAAAAAGCCCAACAGAGTGTACCTCATTGTCTTTCTAAACTATCAGACTTGTAAATTTGCAAATGTATACAAGCTCTATGCAAATATATCCCTTACATGGGATTTGAAAAGATTACTTCTTTTATCAAAGTTAATTAAAGGTGCATCAGTTTTAATCAAATCTTAAGTGAAAACCTAACAAAAACAATCCTGTCTGTTTTAAGGTGCAACTCGCTTCTTGATCAAAGAGCTGTCATACCATAACCTCGAGCTGGAGAGGAACCGACTGGAGGAGCAAGGTGTCAAGAGACAAGACGTATGGCCTTTCATTGTCATGATGGACGACTCCTGTGTGCAGTGGAACGCCCACCAATCAGCAGAAGGAAGGTAATAAGCGCTTCCCAAGTGTAAGAGTGGAGTTGGTTGCTACGGTTAACGAAGCTCTGTTCAAAATCAATTTTACATATGTTCAAAATATGTAAAATTGCCCTCCCCTCTTGGTTTCTTAGTGAGACATCAGATGGAGGCTCATGTCTCAGCAACGTGTCTCTAAAAACGGTGCTGCAGCACATGGAGAACACGCCCAAGATCTCCCAGTACGCCGTGTGCGGCACACGCAAGTGGAGCAGCAGCCTGGCTCGCAGGTCTCCCAGCAATCCCTTCAGTCGGTGTCACCTCCATGACTTTGTCATGCTGAATGTGGACCTGACGCAGAACGTCCAGTACGACCTGAATCGGTAAGCTCAGAGAAGGCCATGTGAGTCAGTTGGTCTGAGGTGTGCATTGTCACCGTTACCTGACGTTGCTGTCCCGTGCAGGTATGGCTGCGAGGAGGTGGACTTTAATCTAAGGGTTAATAGCAGTGGCTTGTTGCTGTGCCGCTTCAACAACTTCTTCCTGATGAAGAAGCACATTCCAGTTGGGGGAAGAAACAAAGAATTCCTGGTCAAACCTAAACTCATGGTGGGTGTTCAGGTGATTAAAATTATTCGCTTTGTTATGTCCTTGTCTTTCTGTGCGTAACACCAGCTCACATGAAACTTCTTTCTTCTCTCCAAAGGAAATAGAAAACCCCGCTCTAATCAGCCCGTTGCAGTATGTTTGTGCACCAGACAGCGAACAGACCCTCTTCGACGCCCCGGCCCAGTTCCTACTGGAAAGGTTCCTCCAGAGCTGCAGTCACAGACTATTTCCGAAAGCTGTTAGGAACAGAGACAACCCAGTTCTGTCCATTGACAGCTACCTCAACCTCAGCCCGGAGGTGAGAGCTCCCTGGAGGTTGCAGTTGAAAGCAGGAACAGTAGAATAATCTCTATTTCAAACTTAGGGCAAGGCTTAAATACCAGACTACTGTGATAGACACATTTTGGATAGAAATCGAGTGCTTCTCTGTCTGATATGCAGAGTTATATACTTTATAAGGTGCTCTAATCTGTATAGTATAGAGAAATGAGGCAAACTTGCTCCCCGACCTTAATGTAGATTTTTTTTTAACCCACAGAGAAGCATGTTGCATGACTTTCCCATCTGTTCTTCTTAGAACATTCTGACCTGCATACACGCACATGTGCACACAGTGAATGCTAACAATGCATTTACTGCACATTTGTGCATAGGAGGCAATGACCATCTATCTGTACACACAGTCTTCTCAAGGTTTTGCACATCTTTTGTTTTAAACTTTTACCCACAAGGCGACTTTAAATTTGCTTGAGCAGACACCTTCGGGAGCTCCCAGCAGGAACTGTCAGGGAGTCGTAATGTTTTCTTTCAGTTACTTCGAATCTAAAAGGCAAGTTCGTGATGTTAGTTTCATTTTCCCGACTGTGATTAATGAAGTGTGTCTCTTTTTTTGTTGTTGTTGTTGTTGTTGTTGTTGATCTCTGTGTGCTACATCAACTCTCGTCCACACTCCACCAACCTGAACCATCAGGGGCTGGTGTTCAGTGGCCTGCTGCTTTACCTCTGTGACTCCTTCGTTGTTTCTGGACTCCTGAAGAAATTCGACTTCCTCAAAGGTATGAAATCAGTGTCACGATTAAAGGAAGGGATCGGGATGCTTTGTTGCTCATATTTTCCCAAGACCCCACACATAGTTATAGGAAATGACCTGGTTGTTTTCTTAGATTTTCACCCCCTACCTTCCTCTGTGCTAGACTGTCAAAATAAAAGCTTCCAGATGTTAAAAGGACATTGGCAAGGTTTGGGTGTCTCTTCAAAATAAGAATCAGTTCCTGACTACAGTAGCTTACATCCCAGTCATGCAAGCATAGAGAGCAGCTGGTGATTGCCTGGCAACCAGTGGTTGCTAAGGGAAAATCTGTATCCCTGAACTGATTGGTAAGTGGTTACTGGAAGTTGTGCGCTGTTGCTAGGTGAAATTTGTTACAAAGATATGAAAAGTGCTGCACCAAAAACGTCCTTGCAGTTGGTTTGGTTGCTAATAGGTTGCCATGGTCACCTGTAGTTTGTTTGGAAGGCAGTGACAGTTCTTGCGTATGAGTTGGTGTCTTAGATGCAAACTATGCCACACGTGGATGTCTTTCTAGCCCTGTTAAATCTAACATGATAGAATTATGCAATCTGTCTCACAATAGAGAACTAAACAGCTAAACTTGATAATTAAAGTGGCACTGCGTGTCCTACTATCTAACTTTTGATCCTGAATTTGTTCACAGGTGCCACCCTCTGTGTGATCTGTCAGGACCGCAGTTCCCTGCGTCAGACAATCGCCCGACTGGAGCTGGAGGACGAATGGCAGTTCCGCCTGCGGGACGAGTTTCAGACGGCCAACTGCAACGAGGATCGGTCCCTCTACTTTCTGACCGGCCGCCACGTTTAAACCTGCTCAAATCTATGCCGCTGCTGAAGAAACCCAATCAGAACTGAGATTTAGTTCCAGACCTGCAATCAAAATTTTGATCAGGCAGAAGACAGGTCAGCAGGGAAATGCTGGAGCACGAGGTGTGAGGACCACCTGACACAGCTTTCTGTACTGCCAGTGTGCACTGTGCCCGACTCCAAAGAGGGTCGGTGAATGTTTCTGACTTTTTCTCGCTTGTCGGCTTGTCTTCAGTTAAGTTTGTGTCGTAGTGAAAAAGACTTTGCTGTGGGGGGAAAAAAAGCACAGCTGAAACTGAACTTATTTTGTTTTGGTGTTGGTTTTTTTTGGACTCGCGACGGATAATGTGACTATTTGAAGAATGTATTTTGAACCCACTTTGTCCAGTCCTGGATGTTCAGGGGGTCAGAGGGAGGTGGCTTTAAGGAGTCGCGCTACCAGCATCAATGGAATATATTTTAACAGGGACATGGCAGGTTTGAGACCATGGTAACATCTGTGTTTGTTAATGTTTGTGCATCTGCATGAAAACAGTTTAAGTTTGCCATTAATTTTTCTAAGCACCAAAGACGCCTTTAGCTGCACTTTTCCTTTTTCCTTTGCTTTCTTTGACCTTTCTCACCTGCTTCGCCTCTCATAATCCACAAAGCCCATTTATGTTTCCTCATAACGTTACAAAGACACACCCAAGAGTTTGGTCATTACTGGATTTCAGGTCATCAGGAGTATCTGTACTGGAAGCTGTGGGAATCAAACAATAAGCAGCCGTTGGATTTGACACAACATGTTGTCACATGACTACATTTCATGCGAGTTTATCCAAAGCGACTGGAAAACTACGGGAACATACGAGTTGTGTCTTCGGTATTTTACTGTTTCAGTTTCAATAGAAATCTGTGAAGCTGGTCAATTTTTCTGAAACACTATTAAACTGCATCCACACAGGAAGCAGTTTGCTTGATTTGTTACCTAGGTAACCCACTAATGCATGGAATCCTGCGTTCTCATTGGTAGTTACTTCAATTCCTTGCCTCAAAGTTCAGAACAGTTTATCTTGGGATTCATCCAGTTAGCATTGTCAGCAGGTGAAACGTGACATGTAGTCACATAACACATTTCACTCACTTTCTTCTACGGTTTGCGGTCGCTACGCCGCTGTGAATCAACATCCACGCAGGAAGCGATGTGACAACCAGAAACCATAGAAGAAGTCAGTGTCGTTCTGCAACTGTAGCCAAAATAACCTACAGTGACAGGAAATTTAGAGACTTTGAAAGCGTATGATACTGCTGATTGACATATTACTGGGTTGTAAATACTTTAGAGGGTTACCTAGGAAACCAGAGCTCAAAATATCTGCAAGCGATGCTCGATGAGAGAATAGTTTCCAGCGTGCACACAGCTTTAGATGATCTGCCACAATGTTTTTATTTTTACATGCTTTCTGTTAACATGGACACCGAGCAGTTGATTTAGTCGTACGTTATGACAGTAATTTTTCACATAGTCGCGCAAAGTGTACCACAGGCAAGCTCCCTCACTGCCAGCTGTCCTGCTACTGCCTGTGCCTGAGATGTCACCTCCTGTTATGGTGTCCTGATTGTTTATTGAAGATGTTTGCTACCATCCACTTTGATTAACCCAGTTTCCAGTCCTGAATTAAAGGGTGAAAATTAGGTTTACACATATACTTGAAAGATGAATGTTTTTAAGTTTCTGCACGTGGTTGTCCAAAGAATATGCCTTAAGCGATGTTTCACACAGTGTCTGCTTAGGTTTTGTTTTTGGACCAATGAGAATGAAGAAACCTTTTGACTGTGAGGCGAAAGAATGTTGTTTGTCTCTGTGTGTAGAGAGATCAAATAATTGGGTTTTGTACTACTGTACTGTTTAAAGCTTTGTTTACATTATTAATATATTCGATCATCCCCTTACCCACTGAGGGTTACTGATGTGTTTAATGTTGTGTAATGTTTGCCAGTGTATTTTGGTGATGTCTTTCTGCATTTTTATGTTGCAAAGGCAAGAAGAATCTACCTAGATTTGTCTTTTATGTCTTTATTCTTTTTGGGGTTTTTTTCCTTTTCTTTTTTTCTTTTTTTGAAAATGAGAATCAGGTCCATGAGGATTTTTTTTTTATTTATTTGAAAAGCATTTGGGACTGATAATCATATTGGAGTGTATAATTTGATTGAGGCCTAAGTTCACTTGGGCCAAGGGAGCGTGCCCTCTTCAAAACCGGTCGCGAAGGCTTTGCACAAGACACAAACGAATGATTCTTGGATCTACTGAATGTCACTGGGGGTTTTGCAAATGTTGGACTTGCACTATACAAGTTGCCAGCTTAAAGAATTATTTCCAGAAGACGGTTATGTTCCCTAACCCCTAGATTTAATATAATAGTGATGATCAAAACAATGGTCCGTAGAAAGTGTTTTTCCTCTTTGATTTTAATACTTAATATGCAACTTGCTCCCACAATCTTAACTGAAATGTGTTTGATAACTATGTGCAGCACAGTGGTAGCCTTGGTGCCTGGTTGATCTACCTCATGTTTACCATTGTGGTTGCAGGCTGTGAATATCTTAATGTTCGAGCCATGCTGTTGTTGTTTAAAATGTCTGAATGTAATAAAATGGCATCTAAACATATCCTGTTATTTTTCCTCTTTGTTTTTTTTAGTGCCCGACTCTGTGATTTAATCTGTTAACAGACACAAAGACAGTAGAGTGAGTTGCATACCAAAAATTGGCGAGCTCCAGCAAAGTTGCAAGACATTATACACCTGTTGTCAGATGTTTACATACTCATCATGGGCAGGAATGTTATGGAAATTTGGGGCTTTTGATCATTTTTGTTCCCTTTCCAGGGATTGTGGAGCATGTATCTTTAATTACTTAAAAAAAAAACCAAGAATTGGTTGCATAATTTGATGTTATTTTGTGTTTTCTCTAATCCCTGCAGGGTCCAAATTGTGCATACACTCACTTCAGTCTTTTAAAAAGTGGTCCTGAAAGTTCTACTGTGTCTTTTAACTCAACATCAGATCATGATTAACTACAACTTTATCTTTGCCAGCATAAAAAGGATTTGTTTGACATCACTTACTGGATTGACCAATAGTCAGAACAATTGGAAAGTCCAAAGAACTCAGTGAAGATTGATTAGGGAGACTTCTAGTTTGCTCAAGTTGGGGAGGTCACCTGGAGCCATTTATGAACAAGTGCAGTTTCCCAGATCATCAGTTCAAACAGTCAGACAATTTCAAATAATTGTACGTAAAGTTATTTGGATGTGTAATTGCCTTGCCAACGTCTGGACAAAGAGCCAAACTGTCACCCTTTGGAGGAAATTGGTTAAGATGTTTAGGAACAACCAAAGAACCACTAAGCCTCAAGCCAGCCATGAACTGGAAATTGCTGAAACACCAGCATCACTGTCCACAATGAAGTGAGATTTACATTGGCATGGACTGAGAGGGCGCCGACTAAGAAAGAAGTTCGTACTTCCAAATCAACACCTTCAAGCTCAACTGAAATTTGCCACTGCTCATGTGGACAAGCCAAAATTTTTATGCTCAGACAAAACAAAGACCGGAGCGAGTAAAGTTTTCAGCGTTCCGGTTGTGGAACATGGTGGTGGCAGTATCATGGTCTGGGACTATTTTTTTGACACTTGTACTGGTGCATTGCAGAAAGTGGATGGGAAGATTTTTCACTTTACCTCAAATCAACAGCTTGATGGTTGAAACTTGGACACAATCAGATGTTCCAACAGAACAATGATCCCAAATACATCAAAACTGATTTTGGAATAGATAACGCAGGATAACATGAAGCTTTTGGAATATTTCGACCTCAGCCCTGTTGAAAATTTGTGGACTATGCTTAAAACCTGGGTCTGTGCAATGAAACCAACCAGTTGAAATGAACTCTGCCAATTCTGCCAAGAAGAGTTGTCAGCTATCCAGCAAGAACATTTGATTAAGTGACATTTAATCAAATATATTGCTGGGAGTGTATGTATACTTTTGATCCTATATGTATGTATACATACTGGAAAAAGAACAGTTCAAAGAAATACCCATGATGAGTGTATGGAAACTTCTGATCACTGTATAACTCCTTCATTACTTCTTATCATTTGGGCTGCATGTTTGAATTCTATAAGCTCTGATTTCCATTGGTTTTGATGCTTTAATGTTGTATTTTGAAGACAAGTGGACTGATACAAAGTTTAAGTAGGGTTCTTCAAGCATGTGGCTCCCTGTCTTTAGCCTGTGATTAACAGTATCCTCACTCTCATCCACACAATGCCAGATCTTTTTATTCTGCAAGAGTAAACCCCGGGGTCTTGTTTATTTCCGAAGCAACATCTCTCCTGATGTGTTTTTTTTTTCCATCTCAGCACCTCTGTATCTTTGTTGTGAATAATGTACAATGACCTTTCTCACTATCAAGAAGAGAAATAGCTTCATAATGAATGCTGGGCTCTTTCTGGCATCATCACTGTCAGGGCACAGGGGCATTGTTGGTCCAGGGACATTACTATTTCAGCTCCTGTGAGGTAATATTAGAGCAGGCTTTCCATCAACCTACAACCTCTGTGTGATATAACACAAGGCTATTTTCAGCCAGCGGCTGTCAGGACTGGATAAGAAAGTAAAGGCATGAAAGGGCGCCTGGGATGCTGATTCTGGCACCTCATGATTGTTCTTCATGGAAAAGTTTTAAATGATTTTTATGCGTTTGAAATCTGATGCTTGCAAAGATGTCAGAGGGGTAACTCACTATTTTAAGGCTATTAATTTACAGTGCTATTAGCTTCCTGTGGTACACAGTTTTCTTGTTTGGTTTCATTGTTTAATTTGGGCTTTGAGGTGATATTTTTCCAAATTCTGCAAGGTCAGAAGATTAAATGCATTTAAATTATTTCTCTCTCCTACTGTAGCCCATTTTATCAGCTTAAATTAAGTTTCACATATTCCTAGAATGTATCTTCAAAGTTTCAGCTCAGCAATACCTCACCGAACGCTCACAGATGCATGTAGCTTTAAATGCAAATTTGCTGCTCCTGGCCACACCCATGGATACCAATCAATAGATAATAACCAATACCCAAATTAGAAAGCATTTATTCTGGGTTTAATTAATATAAATAATGGAATGATTAATGATAGGTATGAATATTTTTTTTATGATATAGCCCTGAGGACAGAGTTTAATGGTTGTAATGGTTATAGATGGTTATAATAATAACTCCTAACTGTTCTTCCAAGTTTCATTTTCAATAAAATATATTAAAGCCATCATTACTGTTGTGTTTTCATGTCTTAGGTAAAAAAGGGCATGCTGTTGGGGGATAGATGCTGTTTTTCCAAAACAGTATTGTAAAACCTAAAAAATATACTCTTCCTGCTCTTTGAAATATTATTAAGGATTAGTCATCCAGTTAATAATGTCAGAATATTACAATATTTGTTAAATCATGACCTATGAAGACTGTGTAATGGTTAAACTGTAGAAAAGTAAAACAAAAAGATACAAATGAGATGTTTTTGGTGAAATTGAAACGATGAGCTGCTTTTGCAAGGAGTTGCAGGTGAATAAAGACCAAAAAATAAGTAGAGTATTGCTAGGGGGTTGCCAGGCAACAAGATGGCTTTTGTGGATATAAATGAGAAGTTATTGTCACAGAATAAAAATGATATGATGCTATTATAAGGCGTTACAGGTGCACAAATGCTAAAACCATGTCATTTTAGCCCATTGCTATGTGGTTGCCAGGCAACTTGATGATGCCATAATATCTACTGTAGATAAAAAACCACCAGGGGACTATTATGCACCTGTGTGCCAAGTTTGGGGCTCAACTCATGACTGTGTAGAAGAAGAAACAAGCACACACAAACATGCTTATTGCTTATGCTTCAGAGATATGTATGTATATGAAATTTGCCACTTTTTAAATTTTTTTGGTGGCAATCCCAGTAGATATGTCAAGAAAAAGCAACAATTGGATCAGATACGGAGGGTAAAGTCCAAAGTGGGACATTTATATTAGATAGATAGACAAAATTACTCACCCTTCTTGGCAGTCTACTCTAATTAATCACAGGTTTTCATATAACCGAAGCTCATCTGTCTGTGGGCTTATTGAGGGCTTGGTCTGTGGGGAAGTGGAGTGCTGGCGGATTACAGTTGGCTTTTGGTGGATCACATCCACTACTGCAGTCATGCATATCCTATCAACGGCTAAGCTCATGAGTGTGGAGTGAGTCAATTCTAAGGCCCAAATCCCAATCCGATGGTGTGAGAGAAGAGACAGTGTGACCCTTTGGTGACACAGCGGTCACACAGTAAGCCAGCTCAAATGGTGGACTGTCAAATGTCCTGGCGTCAGAAAACGATGATGAAGGCAGTCTCACGCGACTCTTGGGAAGGCTATCCAACTTTGTGTTCTAAATGTAATTATTACAGAAAAAACAAGTTTAAAAGAATAGAAAGAAAAAAGAAACAAATCTGGAGACAGGAGCCAAAATGACTTAGAATTTGTTTATTTATTTATTAAATACAGCATATTACACTCATGTTGATAATCCGTATATACTAGTACTTATATAGAGACATTGTTTTAAAGTTAAACTCTTTATTGCCGCACATGTTAAACCGAATGTTTAATTTTCTTCTTTTTATACAGTGTAAAAAAATGAAATGAATCCTATGAACAGACAAACATGTCCTTTGTGCTACATATTACAAAGTGGTGTTAACGTTCAGGACATGATGACACTGATAAGACACATGCTGCACAATGGACACTTGGTAGGACAAACAAACACAAAAATAATAATTCCACAGGAACAGGAAAAATCCTTCACGCAGTGCATTACTGAAAGTCTGGCTTCCAGTCAGATCTGATTGTTTCACTGATGCTAACTCATACATGGTAGCCAGCCCCTTGATCATTGTTGGCAAAAGAAAACAAAAAATGACTGGAAACCAGGCTTTGCATTTAGTAAAGCAACATCTAACACTTTCAGTCACCGTGTGCATTATTTCATTCACATCCACTGAGTCTAGCACCCTCAGACCTACGTTAAGGACTCGTTTTCAACATTTGAAGAAAGAAAACCTTGTGAAATTTCCATACTCTCATTTGCTCTGTTCAACCTTTGGGATGCACTTTCATTTTTCTCATGAAATGAAGTGCTTTGCATTAAGGAATTTTTCAACTTACATAGTGCAATTTTACATTCCTCGTCATTGATGAATTTGTCTCCATGTCGTAAAACTATTTGGTGCATGAATGGAAGAATGAGTCAAAATAAAAGTGCATGCAGGAGACATACAGACAGGAACAATTCAAAATATGCTTGTTCGATTTCGCAGTGTGGGATAGATAAGGAGGCTGACACCACTCCACTCTCGGTCTGCTACATATGAAGCTGCAGCCAGAGGCCGGTTACTTGATTAGCATAAAGAATGAAAGAAGGGGGAAACTAGCTCAGCTTGGTTATCCCTGTAAAGCTCTAAAACAGGTTGATTTAGGTAGACTTTTCCTTTTTTTTATTTTTTTTTTTATTAAAATGGCAGCCTCAACTAGCGGACTGACAAATATACATTGCTTTTATACATTGAGGCCAAGGGCTATTATAAATGAGCCCTTCGTCATCAGATGGTTAGCAGGTTTCTGTGGATGTCCGTGTGTCTGCCTATTCTTTTTGCAGACAGTTTACATGATAATGAACTAACAGAGCATAACCTAGGCTTTAAGCATTGATTATACTCTGTTGCAGAGATGGACATTGATTTACAGTTCGAGACTCAATAGCTGCGTAGTTTTTTCTGTTACACTTCTCTGAAGTCTGTTTTATGCCCACTGCCTGGGATAGATGGGTAGCTGGTCCACTGTTATTTAAATTCTTCACAGACGACTCCGTGCAGTCACAAAAAACAGGCAGGTACGCAGATGCCCACACAGATGTTCGCACGCACTGATGACAAAGACATCCAGTGGACTTGAACCAAATAGATCAGCAATTAAGATCGTAGAAGGACTTTGTGCTAGTGGAGCTTTTCGTTACGTCGGAGGGCATATCCTATCATGAGATACCTCAGAGAACCAGGGTTACACGGGTAACCAAACACATTAAAGTCACTCATGAGACTAGGAAATATACTGTGTTCCAACTGAAGAGTTGGAAATCCCAACTTTGATGTAGGACTTTCCAATTTGAACTCTATACAAGCTGAAAATTTATTTATTTATTTATTTATTTATTTTTATTTTTTTTTTGGGGGGGGGGAGCTAAATTACTTAATAACTCAAAAATTATGAGTTATGCATCTGAGAAGTCAAAATTATAAACTACAAAAATTTGGAAATAACCCAAAATACGATATTTTCCACGTACTACTACTACTGCTGGAACGGTCAACTCGAGAGTGGCGTCACTCCTACCTCTGACAACTTCAGAGGTAAAAGAAACAAAGCTTTAGTCCAGGCACTACATTATCTGTCTGTGTGTGGTAAAGGTGAGTACTTATTATTATTGGACAGATTTTAGGCAAACCTATATTTTAATAGTTATTTTTGACCATCTGATGTAGCAAAATGTCAACTATGCAACAAATAAATAAATAAATAAGATAAAAACCAATTAAATTTGCACTTTTTTGCTTTAAAATGTGTAATTACTATGCAGCGAGCTCAAACTACTGCATTCGAGGACTTACGTTTCTTTATGACTGCTTTCTGATTATTTATTAACAGCGACAAAAATTATGCCAAAATATAAGAGCTTTGCAATTTCATGTTTAATTTGTGGGTACTCCTCTCCCGTGACAATTCTTCTCCTGGCAACGAGAGGGAAGTATCCCTTAGTAACATTACACTAAAATGCAGAGAAAAAGTATTTTCCCTCTTCCTGATTTGTTTATTTTTTTGCACATTTATTAAATTACATTACTTACATGGTTCAGATCATCACACAGATTTTTATGTATTTACTCTGGTTATCTTTGTTAAATATTAAAATTTATTTTGCTGATCTGAAGTATGAAAATATGAAAAAAAAAACCTAAGAACTCAGGAAGAGGGAAAATACTTTTTCACGGCACTGCATTTTATTTAGAGCTTCAGAGGCGCTGCTTTCCTCTGCTTCCAATCTTTATGCTTTCAATCTTTAAGCTATTCATCTCATGATATTAGCATCATATTTAAAAGAAAGTGAATTCAAGCTTCACAACTGAAAAGACAAAAATATGAAACTATTACTTTAGAAGAAAATAAATAACTTTGTGTGGACGTAAACTTAGAAAAACTCAAACTCCAGGAGAATAACTGAGAAAGTACAAAGGAGGGAAAGAAGTTAAGGAAATAAAAAAAAATCCCTGAGGGCTAAAATCCTACAGATGTCTTCATGATAAAAGCAATAGAGGATGCTTCATAAACAAAAATGATTGGAATCTCATGTACAGTACTGATGATTGCACACGGTAATCACATAATTCTTTAGCTAGCTAATGCACAAATGGGCACAGATTCAGTATTTCAGCTGTGACATGAACAGCTTTGCTTGCAGGACTACAGACTTTTAACTGTATGGAATCAATAAATTAATGCTGAGTGCAACACAAATGCTGCATTCAATAAAATGTGCCCTTTAAAATGAGAAAGAATGAGGATTTTTTTTTTGCTTGTGGCAGCAAAAATAGAACAGACCTATGGAGGGCAAGGATAGAAGAAGTCATCAGAAGAAAGAAAAACTGCAGAACTGGTCTGGTAGAGAGGAAAAGGTAGATGTAATGCAGAAAGGGCTGAATAAGGTATAAAAAACAAGAATGGGATTTAAAATGGAAGAAATAAAGGACAGAATGTATCAAGAAGACATAATAAAAATGTAAAACTAGAACATCAGTTACATCTTCTTATCAGGAGAGGTCTTTGAGTTGGTTGCTTTGCTCAATGACCGCCTTTGCAAACTGCTTGAAGACTCGGTCCATATAAGTGCTCTGACGTGGCCACAGGCCCTCCAGGAAACCAATATGGCCGCCGTGATGGGTAATGAGCATGGCCAGGTTAGGGTTCTGTTTCACTGCCTCCACTGGAATGGCTGCAAACAAAACACAGAATT